CCTGATTTTTCAACTATCTGATGCCCTGTTTGTTACTTTGTCAGAAGTGTGGGGATAGTATTTTAACATTTTGGTTGTACTATAGATGTGTTATGCTGTCTTATTAATGATTATTTTAAATTACAGTTTAGAGAGTTTCAAATGTAATATATTTGACTATAAATGAACAAAACAACTATTTTATAATGATGTCTTGTAATTGTCCTTGTTGGGGTACATATGGGAAGAAGAAAGATGACAGGTTTTGTTCTGAGAAATGTGGACCCTGGACCAGATGAATGTGACTTGGAAGAGAGTGAAACAGAAATTCCCCAAAAGTTGGGGCCAACATGAGGAGGATAGAAGTTATGAGGACAAGGGACCAGCAGTTGGCATAATGGCTATGTTGTTGGACTCCCATGTAGTCGACCATAGTTTGAGTCCCAGACCCAGTGACTTGTACTCACGCTGGGTGCATGTGCGAGCGTGCCCACCCAAGATCCCAAGAGGAGAATGGAGTAGAAGGGATTGCGGCATGGCCATCCTCCCTGGGGGGTGATTTCTCGCTTTCTGTCTCTTGTCTTTCTGGTCTCTTGTCTTTCTGGTGAGCACACACGCCCTATAGCAAAAACCTCTCCAAAAAAAAGTTACAGGCATAAAGGCCTCCCCCATGTCCCCCAATGTACAGACACAACTTGGCTATTGTTAGTGATTTTTCTTGACTCTCAAAAGATTTTTGGCAAAGACAACTCTGCCATTTTGAGTATATAGGGACCTGGCATCAACCTGGTAGTGAGGAAATTATAAAAACACCTTTAGAAGTATTGATAGTGTGTGTCTTTCCTCAAATGGACTCAGTTTTTTAGTGATTTGGCCTTTGGAAGTATCTTATCCCCATACTTTAGGATTTGGGGGTTAGATTTTGGTTGAATAAAACTTGAGGGATTGTTTGCTACAGTCCAGATTTTTTTTTTTTTAAGGTTTTTGCCATAGGGCGAGTTGCTCATCAGAGACAGACAGTGAGTGGGAAAGTGAGAAATCACCCACCAGGGATGAATGACCATGCATAATACCTTCTCCACTTTCCTCCTCGGGTTTTGGCACACATGCACATACCCAGCATGATTTTGAAGCCACTGTGTCCAGAACTTGAACCGTGGTCAGCCTTGTGCAAGTCTAGAGCCTTAACCACCATGCCATCTGCTGGCTCCAGTTTGGTCTTCACTGTAGAAATTGTATGGTGGAAAGATACTATAGTAATAATAGATGCCCAGAGCCGTGTTTTCTCTTGTAGTTTGTGAAAAACGTGTACCCCAAAGAAGTTAATGCTGCTGTTTATGGTGGAATCGTTTGTGGGAGGAGGTGCAAGCATTTATTTTTAGAGCAATAAAAGGTTTTGAAGCATTAAGTTCAAGTGCTGGACTCCCACGTGGATGACTGTGGTTCAAGTCCCAGACCTGGTGGCTTGCTTTCTCACTTCCCTTTCTCTCTCTGCTCAGATTTTTAAAAAGAAAAATAATAATAACAAAATTAAGTAATCCTTTTACAAAAAAGGTTTTGAGTCAGTCCTGTGGCTTAGTGATTAAGGGAACTGGATCCCACAAGGTTGACCATCTTCATATCCTGGATTGAATCCTGGCCTGAAATTTGAAGAACACAGCAGTTGCATATGTGAGTGTGCCCAGATCCTGGCAGGTTGGAGAAATGTGGAAGAGATTGTGATGTGACTAATGCTTCATTGGAGGATCCTTTTTACCTCTATTTATTCCTGTCTGGCAAGTGCATAGGCCTTGGTCAACTAAAAAAGAAAAGATAAAAATATTTGTCATAATGACCAGAATTTCTTAATAGCTTGGAGTTCTGATTAAAGTAATGCATGGTATGAATTGTAAAGAAACTACAAGTAAGTGGTGAAACTTTCCAACCTTTGTGAAAACTGTTGAAGGACTTGGAAATGTTAAAGTTGAAAATCACTTTATTATTATTTTTTTTTGCATATTCATGATAAAATGTGTGCACGTGCACTTGAGAGAGAGTGTATGTGTGTGTGAGAGAGAGAGGGAGACATACACACAGACATGAGTACTCTTCTGGATTTGGTCACTCCACAATCTCCTTCCTCTCCAGTCCTTTAATCTGGTCAGATACGGAGCATTCTTCTCTGGTGTGTGCAGGCTGACCATGCTGAAGATTTGAATTGCTCATCAGGTGGAATCAGGCTTCTCTAGCAGTGCACCATAGGACTGGCCCTGAAAATGACTGACTTCTAGTGGCAAGACATGCTTTGCTAATATTCATGAACTTGAAAGTTCTCAGTTTTTGACATGGTCGCTACAAAGTGCCAAGGGAATAATACAGATTTTTCTGGTAATGTAACTGAAATTACTGACCAAAATGATTGCCAGAAATGAATGTGCCCAAATGAGTGAAACTGGTGAGGAAGACATTATTATAGCATTGTCAGGTTTGGGAGAAGAAAGGGCAGTACCTTCAGAATTTCAGGTCAGGCCCTTGAGAAGTTATATTTGTGTGAGAGACAGATGGAGCACCTTCTCTACTGAGTTTTGTTACACTGCAGTCCTGTCCATCCTTCCAACTCATCAGATGCTATAGCACTCTTGAATAGGAAGGTATTCTGAGTTTTAGGCCTCGGTGAGGATATTTGTATGGAAATGTCTCATACCACACAAATAAATGAGATGAAAGACAGTTGGAGTTGAAGGGAATAGGACCAAATTATAGTTTTGTAACAAATATGGGGGTACACACTGACAGATGTTAGATTTATGAATTAGCTACGTTCTGCAGTTGATCATCCTACATTACTAAAAATAAAATGACATTTTCAGTTTTACTTTTAACCCTCTCTTCTCCAACTCTTCTCCAAGCCTTTATGTTCCAAAGACTTTTTGGGGGTTTAGAGCTGATATACTTGCTTTTGGGTTTTCCCACTGCCAGTTTGTTTCATAGTTTAGTTTTCTGATTTGCCTAGATTAATGTCTGACATATATTGTAGTAATCAGTTAAATAAATATTTGTTGTTGCTTTGTTTTTAATTGCTATTACTCCTCTCTCATCTGCTTTGAAAATGTCTATAAATTTTGTCATTTTCTTTTTCCTTTATTCTCTTCTTGTGAGTTTGTGTCTTAAAATCCCATTAGTGTTATTTAATGAACTTTTTTTTTTTTTTGGAGGGGGAGAGGTTTTTAATAGGGCATGTGCGTTCGCCAGACAGAGAGAGAGAGAAAGAGAGATGGAAAGCGAGAAATCACCCCCCCCCCAGGGGGAATGGCCACACTGCACTCCCTTCTCCGTTCTCCTCTCGGGATCTTGGGCGCACATGCACATACGCCCGGCGTGAGTTTTAAGCCACCAGGTCCAGGACGCGAACCGCGGTCAACTACATGGGAGTCCAGCGACATAGCCATTACGCTAACTGCTGGTCCCCTTTAATGAACTTTTGAAAGGATGAGGCAAACATATGTTTTTGCCTTGTTTTGACTTGGAACATTTTATGTGCTAATATACCTCCCAGGCATGTAAGTAACCTATTAAGAACTTAGACTGGGCAAGAATTTTTAGCTTCATAAATTCATAGGTACTGCATAGCGTGTGTTTATTTAGATAGTGTTCCGTGGATGTTACCGACTCTAGTGTGATTTTTTTTTTTTTTTTTTAAGACAGACAGCATACCCAACAGGATCTTGATGCTTTGTGTGATTCAACCCTAGCCTTGAGCCAACCCCATGTAATGGGCAGTGCTTGCCCGATGTACTACTTTATGGAGGTCTCCAGACTGAACTCTGGGAACCTTCTCATGTGGAATTGTATTTTATTCCTTAACCATTATCTGCCCCCAGATGTTTTAAAAAAGTATTTACGAAGTACCCAGTCATTCAAAGTGTATGTGTAAGCGTTTGATTAAAATTGAGAAATTTTCAATTTTGATTAATAGTAATATAAAGTGTTTAATAATAATTATATAAGAGCCAAAGACTGCTTGCCCAAGGTTACATAATGGTGGAGTAAGGATTTGAACAGCAGTTACATTACTTACACCCACATCCTTTGTTTCTCTTGAATATGTCAAGTCGTGGTTTCTTTGAGATGTACTAATCAAATGAAGATAAAGTAAAAACACTAATTTTAAGACTGAAAAAAAATGACCACTGATTTTTTTCTGAGAACTATAGTCATTCCAAAATGGTTTTGAGACAGTGTATTCACTGTAGCCCAATTTTTAAAAGAGAAATAGGGAAAAATAGTTGTGCATTATACTGGGCTCTAATTTGATATTTATAAAATTGAGTCCTTACTCTGTACTAGGTTAATCAGTTCTCATAGTTTCACAAGACATGATACTGTAAGGTTAAAATTATGCTCAGAGTATACAAGTGATAGCGCTGGAATGTGAATCCTGGCAGCTAGACTCCAGAGCTTGAGCTTTAGTCCTAATACTAAATAACACTTCACTCAACTAAAACCTGTAATGTTCCAAAATGTACATTTATGTTCGCTGATTCTGAGTTAGATGATAGCTTGTGCAAATGAAGTTCAGAGAGGTTAAGTAACTTACAAGTCATACATCTCATAAATGGAAGAAATGCCATCAGATCTGTCTGATTCCAAACTTTGTGCTCTTTCAGTACTCTGTCATGTTTTTGTATCTCTAATACAGCCTTTTAAAGTTTTGTAACATTTAACTTAATATTTTTGATAAGCTTTTAATAGTGTTTTCCTGTCTTGCAGGGATTTATCAAAGATGTTCATGAAGACTCTCTCACAGTTGTTTTTGAAAATAAGTAAGTTATTTTTTATTGACTAAGCTTAAAGATCGTTAATAGGACTAACCTGTTTGTTTTTGGGTATTTCTGCTGCTATTGAAAAAACAATTTTACTTTTGGGGAAGCTTTGGTTATTTGATCATCTTACGAGTTCAAACTTGTCTCAGTTACCTCTTCCCCTATTTTTGTGCCCAAAAAATGACTTGTCACTTTTTCTATGATCCTCTTTGCAAGATCACATGCAGGTATTAATCAATAAGTAGTTCTGGTAGACGTAGATGTTACAAATGATAATATAATATACTTAATTCTTGAAAGCCCAGAATGTTGAAATGATGCTGTAGAAGGCATTTAAAATTGGGTCAGCTGGTAGCTTTTCAGCCTGAAAACTGTGCCAGGTTCATGTGTGTGCATGCCCAATATCCCAGAAGGAAAAATGCAGGGATTGCAGCAGGACCTTCCCTGTGAGAAAGAGTAGTTCTCATCCCTTCCCCCATCTTGCCCTTTGGCCAAAATAAACCTAGAAAACAAAAGCATTAGAAATTGCTATTAACAGTCTGAATAAAGTATTAGGCTATCTTTAATTGCTTGATGTCATTAAGGGCTAGTACCAGTTTTATAGGTGTTATAAGGGCTAGGTAGTCTAAATCAGAACCACAGTAAACTGGGCCTCGTTAGGAAAGATTATAAAAGAGCACCATTTAATTGAAGGTCAGAGTAGAACTGTTTGGCTTCTATCTTTAAGTTGTTTCTGGAACTGTCTGAAGGAATCTCCTTTGCCCAACAGCTGCATTAAGTAGAAACAAGTGTTGAGATGATTTCTATCTTTGAGCACCTGCCATTTAGATGGTAATAGTGAAAGAAAGAATAGTTTAGCTATTCATAATAATTGCTGATTAATTTTTTGTGTTTCTGTGGACACGTATGCAAAAAAGAATTATGCAGTTTGATTTTGGTTTGTAGTTTGTGAAATTGTATTCCGTTTTTGAGTAGGTAGTTGTAAAAGCATTTGAAATAGGTTGATCCTACAACTTCATTAGCTGCAACATTCTAATCTAAATTAGTCATTACTATGAACTTAGGCTATTTCTTTGATGGAATAACATATTTACTGTTAGAATGACAGGTGGGAAAGTAATATATAATTATTACCAAAGATGATAATTATTGGGGCCAGCAGGTGGCATAGTGTTTAAGGTGCTGGACACTCACGTGGCCAACCGTGTTTCAAGTCTCAGATTCAGAGGCTTGAAAGTCATGCCAGGCATGCCAGAAATCCCAGGAGGAGGAGAAAAGGCATTGGGATGTGGCCATCCTGGGGGCAAGGGTTGATTTCTCACTTTCCCATTGTGTCTCTGTCATGTAAGCACATAATGTACCTTTGGTATGAACAAAAAATAAGTTAATTATTTATCAACTTTTAAGAGTCATGCAAAATTGGTTCTATCTCAGTAAATAATTATTTGGAAAATTACATAGTATGAAGTTGTTTTTCTTCTCTTTGGGGAAAGCTAAATGATAAACTAGTTTGGAAAATTAATTAATTCTTGTTTCTAATCCTTCAGTTGGCAACCAGAACGCCAGGTTCCATTTAATGAAGTTAGATTACCACCTCCACCTGATATAAAAAAAGAAATTAGTGAAGGAGATGAAGTAGAGGTATGTATTTTCTTTGATTTTCTTGCACCTACTTTTGTTCTAAATAAATATTCTTATAAAAAAATCTGTTTATGGGACCAGCAGTTAGCGTAATGGCTATGTCGCTGGACTCCCATGTAGTTGACTGCGGTTCGCGTCCCGGACCCGGTGTTTTAAAACTCACACTGGGCGCATGTGTGTGCGTGTCCAAGATCCCGAGAGGAGAATGGAAGAGAAGGGATTGCGGCATGACCATCCCCCCCGGGGGGGTGATTTCTTGCTTTCTGTCTCTCTGGCGAGCGCACGCGCCCTATAGCAAAAACCTCTCCCAACAACAACAAAAAAATCTGTTTAGCTAATAGAGAATAATCTTCAGGTTTGGGTTTTCTTTTGTTTGTTTGTTTGTTTTTCCCCTTCAACTGATAATGGCAGTGCTTAAGTTTGGGAGTTAGATTCATATCTCAGCGCTATTATTTTTAGCTTTATGGACTAGATTAAGTGGATCACTAAAATGAAAGTAATTTGAAAGTTAAATATGACAAGTATTTGAATTGATTAGAAAATTTGTTATAGAATTGTGTGGTTTTAATGACAATGTTTTTTGTTAATTTAAAATTTGTCTTGTGATTTATATGCTTCAGTATTTTTGTAAAATATTGGTAGTTATTCCATTACTATAATGATCATTATCATTGTTCATATGTAATAATGTGAAATGGTATAATTAATGTACTGCCTTATAGAATATTTTAGAAATGTCTGGTAAATTTGTTTTTAATGGCCAGAGGGTGCATGCGCCTTCCAGAGAGGAAGAATGAGAAAGAGGGAGAAGGAGAAAGGACACCACAGCCCCCCACACATACACCCCTGCGTGATCATGCCACAGTGCCTTCTCTATCCTGTTTGGATTTAGGGCATGCACACACATGTGCCTGCTGTGTTTTTCAAGCTGCCAGGGCTGGGATTCAAACCATGGTTGACCTTGTGGGATCTGACTCCCTTAACCAGTAGGCTGCAGGACTGGCTCTCAGAAAACATTTTAGAAATGGAAAAATGGAAGAAAAGAAAAAAAGAAAAATCACTGCCCTGAGATTTAAAAAAGAAAAAAAAATTTTTTTTAAGTAAAAATGGAATTCTATGATACTGCATCTGCCTGTCCTTTTAGCACATTTAGTAGACAGTAGGTCTGTTTTTGTTTTTCCAGTGCTACTGCTAATATTAAAAGAATCTTGGAAGGGCCTGTCGTGTGGTGCAGCAATAAAGGGAACTGGATTCCACATGACTGACCAGATTTAAGTCCTGGGTGTTGTAGCCTGAAAAACACACTGGGCCTTATATGTATGTATGTGTGTGTGTGGGCCCTAAATTTCCAACAGTTGTAGAAATAGAGGAGAAGGGATGTGCATGGGCACACCCCATTGGGCTGTGACGTTTCTGTCTGTGTATCTGTCAAGCATATGTGTCCTCTGGCATTAACCAAAAAAAATGGAGGCAACAGCTTTGGGACCTGAAATTCTGATAGGACAGAGTCATGTCAAGCAGAACATGAATTAGATATGGAAATGTTCTAGAATTAGAAATTTATGGTGTGGTCAGTTTTGGGGAAAGTGTTTTTCATGCTTTGTTATTATTCAGACAAGTGGTATTGGTAGTGTAAAAATCTTAGATAAAAGGAAAAACTACTTGTTAGTAGGGTGCTGAGAGTGTTATTAGAGTGCATTTTCTAGGCCCAAGTCCAGGAAAGGTCTTGTCTTATTCCTGGATTGTGTCTGTGATCTGCCTCCCCAGCTGTGAAGAGAACATTGATGTTAGAGATGGCGATGCCTGGGGCCAGTCTGTGGTATCTAGTTAAGTTGTTTGGATCCCACATGGCGAAGTGTGAGGTTCAAATCTTAGACCCAGCAGATTCAGGAACACTGCAGGTGCATGTATGTATGTGTTCAAAATCCTAAAAGGAGGGAGAAATGGGGGAGGAAGATTGTGTTACCATGCCCCATGATAGGTGCTTTCTTGCTTTCTCTGTCTCTAGCAAGTGCACATGTCCCCTGGGAAAAACGAAAAAGAAAGAAAAAAAGGGGAATCGATCCTAAAGTGTTTTTATTATTTTACTTTGTGTCTTATGATTCAACCATGGTGAAATTTGCTCTCTATAATTTTGTAAATTGTGTTTGAAATTAAAATATCATCATTTATTTTACTTATGGGAACTTTGAAAGTTTATCTAAGGAAAATGTTTAAGCATCTTGTGTCACTTACTGATTTTTGCCACAGTTCTTCAGGAAGCCCTTATATGGTGCAGGTGTTTAAAAATTGCGGTTATTGGTGCTTTATTTTTTAAATTAACTTTTGAATGCCTCCTTCCCTCTTTACGATCAAAGTAATTTTAGTATAAAAATGAAATGATGCATAATTGTATAAAGTATAAAGTGAATCAGTGAATCTTCACTCTTAGCATAGGTGTGCTTGTCCATTCACCCAAACTTAAAATCCTATGTACTGGAGTGTCTCCTTTGCATTTATAAAGATTTTTTCTTTTAGAGGCTTTTTTTTTTTTTTTTTCCTTTCAAGAGACACAAAGAGAGGAATTGAGAATCATCTACCAAGGGAGTGGCCATTCAGAAATCCCTTCTCCATTCTCCTCTTGAGGTTCTAGACATGCATGCACATGAACCCGATATGATTTTTTTTTTTTCCAATCCACCAGGTCGTGATCAGCATGTGATCAGATTGTGGGTGTCCAGTTTCTTCCCCAGTATACCACCTGCTGGCCCCTAAAGGATATATTTTTAAGTTGCAGAAACTAGTGCTATCGTGTATGTGTGTGTGTGTGTGTGAATTTATCAGTTAATTAGACCTTCGTGGACATTTTCATGTCTGCCCACGTTTACCTCATTCTTTCTAACCACTGTAAAATTATTTGGTATAGCTATATCAAAATTTAAAAGCCATCGAGATTTTTAATAAATTTTTTTGCTATTACCAAAACCTTAAACATAAAGCCAGCTGGATGTCGTATCATACACTTGTAATTCTAGTTACTTTGAGGCTGAGGAAGAAAGATCATGCAGTTCAAGGCTATCCTGGACAATATAGCGAAACTGTCTCTCAAAAAAAATATTGCTGGGCCAGCAGGTGGTATGCAGATTAAGGTGGCTGGATCCCACATGGCTGACTGCATAGGTCTGAGTCCTGGAATCTGAGGCTTGAAAAACACACTAAGCATGTGTGCTTGTCCAGAATCCTTTTTGTTTTCTTTTGTTTGTTTGTTTTTGAGAGGTTTTAGCTACAGGGCACGTGTGTTCGCCAGACAGAGACAGACAGAGAGATAGAAAGCAGGACATCAACCCCCAGGGGGGATGGCCATGCCGAAATCCCTTCTCCTCCATTCTACTCTCGGGATCTTGGGCACACATGCACATGCACCCGGCGTGAGTTTTAAGCCATCGTGTCCAGGACTTGAACCGCGGTCAACTACATGGGAGTCCAGCAACATAGCCATTATGCTAACTGCTGGTCCCTCTTTTGTTTGTTTTTTGAGAGAGATTTTTGCTATAGGGCACATTTGCTCACTGGAGAGACAAAAAGTGAGAAATCATCCCCCAGTGGGAATGGCCAAGCTGCAGTTCACTCACTTCTTGGGATTTCGGGCACACACATGCACCTGGTGTGAGTTTTATGCTGTCTAGTCCAGGACTTGAACCATAGTTGATCACATGGGCATTCATTGCCTTAACCACTGTGCCATCTGCTGGCCTTTGCCCAAAAGGCTAAGAGGAGAATGAAGAAGGGATTATGACTTGGCCATCCCCATTGGGGTTGATTTCTCACCCTCTGTCTTCCTGCCAGTGCATAAGCCCTATAGCAAAACTAAAAGAAAAAAAATGTTAAAAAGTCAGAGTTAATGTTCTTATATAACTTTTCTAGTAGTATAGATCTCAGGGGAGTAATTGTATGCTACTGCATCTGCCTGTCCTTTTAGCACATTTTAGTAGACCTCTGGTTACACCGAACACCAGTATGTCAGTGCGTTTACTAACTCAGAAGCTTCATGACTGTGTGCTTTTAAAACAGTTTTTTTTATAGTTTAATATAGCAGTCTATGTCTTTTTTTTCCCCAATTTATTTATTTGCATTCATTCACTGTACATCATTACAGCATACAAAATGAGATTTTCCATCCAGAGTACACTGTATATTGTCTCAATCAAGCACATCAACAAACATGTTATTGTCAGCAAATTGAATCAGTGAATCTTCACTCTTAGCATAGGTGTGCTTGTCCATTCACCCAAACTTAAAATCCTATGTACTGGAGTGTCTCCTTTGCATTTATAAAGATTTTTTCTTTTAGAGGCTTTTTTTTTTTTTTTTTCCTTTCAAGAGAAACAAAAAGGGGAATTGAAAATCATCAAAGAGAGGAATTGAGAATCATCTACCAAGGGAGTGGCCATTCAGAAATCCCTTCTCCATTCTCCTCTTGAGGTTCTAGACATGCATGCACATGAACCCGATATGATTTTTTTTTTTTCCAATCCACCAGGTCGTGATCAGCATGTGATCAGATTGTGGGTGTCCAGTTTCTTCCCCAGTATACCACCTGCTGGCCCCTAAAGGATATATTTTTAAGTTGCAGAAACTAGTGCTATCGTGTATGTGTGTGTGTGTGTGTGAATTTATCAGTTAATTAGACCTTCGTGGACATTTTCATGTCTGCCCACGTTTACCTCATTCTTTCTAACCACTGTAAAATTATTTGGTATAGCTATATCAAAATTTAAAAGCCATCGAGATTTTTAATAAATTTTTTTGCTATTACCAAAACCTTAAACATAAAGCCAGCTGGATGTCGTATCATACACTTGTAATTCTAGTTACTTTGAGGCTGAGGAAGAAAGATCATGCAGTTCAAGGCTATCCTGGACAATATAGCGAAACTGTCTCTCAAAAAAAATATTGCTGGGCCAGCAGGTGGTATGCAGATTAAGGTGGCTGGATCCCACATGGCTGACTGCATAGGTCTG